ACCGAATTGGACGACAAGAAGTCTTATTACCAATTAATCATAAAAATTACAATTTCCGAGAAAAGAAGAATAGCCAAGTTATGAAAGAAAGGAAAAATATGCACTAAAATACCTACAAAGGAGATGTTAACATTCTAAGGCCACCGAGCCTCCTACTGGCAATTAGGCGCCAAAAACACAAGGCGCGCGCACGCACGCACGTAACTACAACTTTGTAACTGCAACTACAACTGTGATAGGTTGATTTAAACTACAATTTTGAATGTGATTGGCTTATTGAACTGTCCTATAACAAACTGTCCAATAACAAACTATCCAATAAAAAACTGTCCGATAACAACTTGGCAAGTGAATTAGTGGAAAATAGGGGTTTTTTAAACCAATCACAATCGAGGAAATCGTAATTTTTATGATTAATCACGAAACAGTTCGGTAACAAAACCACTTTAAATTTTAGCGGGCCGTACAGGAGAGTACGGCCCGCTAAATTGACCAATCACAGCGCGCCTACTAACTGAGAGATATTACAAATTTGAGAATTGGTCAGTTGCCCTTTTCTGAGTTTTTTTTTTAAATCCAAGATGGCGATTCTTAATTGGCGGACATTTTGAAATGTGCGACGTCACGATTGACACGTGAATATCTCCGAAGTAAACAGTTGGAGGTCTTTAGGTACTATTGAGTGAATGCTTTAGGAGATACACGGTGGGCGGGGTGGGATAGAGGGCACATTGTTTGGCTTGTTAATAACATGACAATGTTGTATTTTAGATGTTGATGACAGGTTGTCTGGGAATCGCTGGCACTCCCAGAGAATTCGAACCAAGTAAAAAATTGGTAAGTTAAACGATGTAAGACCAAACTAGCTAGCTTTAGTGTTTGTGTGCGTTTTGTATCTAGATTCGAAATAAGACAACTTTTGGAGAATTTGGAGACTGAACTTGTTAGCCTTAATCCTTTTCTGTCTTGGAAAAAGGATTGTAGGTTATTTAAACTCCCTACCGACTTTGATTGTGTTTGCGGAACAGCTAAAAGAGACATGCAAGCCACCCATACAAAGGACAACAGACTAAAAGCCATAGAATATTACCTTTTGTACAGGTTTTAGCTTTTTTTCTATCTAGTAACAAGGACCGTTTGTTTCTTTGGATTTTGATAAAGAGCGACTATTGTTATTATTATGGTAGACCTCCTGGCAACTGACATTATGTCATCACTTGAGAAAGGTGCCTTGACGGCTCTGAAAGCTATTGTTATTCCTAGGGCAGATCTAGAGGGGGGGAGGGGGGTTTCAGGGCGTTGGTCGAGCGCTTTAAATTGAAAAAAAACNGTCATTTTCCCGCCAGAAACTGTTAAATTGAAAAAAAACAAAAAAAACGTAAAAAATCATACGCTTATTTGGGATAAAAAGTTCTATCATTGTGCAAAGTTTGAGCTCCATCGGATAAAATCTCGACACCCCTTCTCGAAAAATCGTGTATTCACCCCAGTTATTCAGTATTAATTCAAGACATCAGAAGATCATTTTCAATCAAAGTTTACATGTGATCTTTTTTAACTTCCAGGTTTGTTGGTTCAAGAGCTGCTCTATCATTAATGTGTCAGTTGGTTGCATTCTTATCATGCTCTACAGCATGGCCGTTGCATTGTTAAAGAACAGAAACGATCATTATGATGCAGAAATGGCTATGCTTACAATGATTTTGATTCTCGGAGTTATTGAGGCTGTCATTGCGGTAACCGTTATGGGGATAAGTTGCTCTAGCGATCCACCACAACAGGTAAAAAGAAGCGTATTTATAAATCTACTTTCAAAACACCATGTTATAAGTTATGCCACCCAAGAGAATGTATATTTTCATCTATTCGTCTATTTGCATCATATATTTCTTGCCTAAGTAGTTTTTCTATCTTTATTTACTTAGAGGCAATTTAACGTACACTGTGAACTCAGGTTACCTCATGACTTCGTGTGGCCTCTCCGTTGCAGTTGAGCGGAGGGCCACAAGAAGGCTAACTTCAAACGGTCCTTGTATCTGTTTCGCCATGGATGATAATCCGAAATTTTAAGACACGTACAGTTTGGCTTTCTTTTGGAAAAAGCGATGACAGTTAAGAGTCCGAGAGAGCGACCACCGGTAAAAGCACTGAAACAGACGCTAAACCTAAAAGCAGAGCTCCTCGGCCGGGTTGTAGCCCGATTAAGCTAACCCTGGATAAGCGATAATTTTGATTTGAGTTTTGTAATTCTGGGGATAGGTTTCTATGTACTGTTTGGCCCGTTCTGAGTTTGAACAATCTCAAAATACACAAAACAAAAGCACTGAAAAATATTTGTATGCAAGACAAATTTATACTTGGGTTAGCTAGCGTTAACCAGGCTTCCGAACAACACGGCCCTGTTTACAACAAGTTAACCTGACGAAAACGAGCTCTTGGACAGCGGTCACCTTCAAACAACACGTG